GGGAGGATGTTTAGAGACTTCCTGTACCCGACTCCAGGAAATTTATTAGACTGGAGTTGTGTATAGATCGGCAGGTCACCTTTAAAATGGCAGAGGAATCAATCAGCCTTTCTCTTGACTCACAGAATCGTGTCTGATTGGAAGTACACACTAGAGGGCGGTTGCTGCAGACTCACTGAAGAGTCGAGAAGAACGAAAGAAGGAAGCGAAGGAACATAGAGGAAAGGTCTCTTTCAATCATCTGAGTGGAAGAGTGTGTCTGGAAACTTTAACAGTTTCATTACAGAAAACAATGCTTTGAGCAGAGTAAAGCACTCAGATTCTAAAGCTCTGTAGTTCTCGTGTGAGGACGAATTGACTACTTGGGCGTTTCTTCCTAATTACGTGTATTAGCTGTCGATATCAGGTTAAACACATGTAATTAAGTAAAGCACCGCGAGATGAATGGTTGGACGTATGCTCAGTAGGTGCTATCAGTTACCTAAACGATAGAGGCCATGTGAAAAAATTATGAATAAGAACAGGACAGAATGTCTATCTATCTATCTACTCACACACCTACCCACCCACTCACTACTCACCTACCCACCTACCTACCTACCTATCTATCTACCTATCAGTGGCCCTACCGCCCTTTATTGGGTCTTGGCCTCTTTTCAGTTCGTTATCATATACACAGGCGGCAGGGTTCCTTAGACGATAGATCAGCCCTTCGTAAGGCCTCAACCTATACAAAGTCGGAATAATCGCACACAGAGATACATGCCTCGAGTGGGATTCGAACACACGACCCAATTGTTCGAGCGGGAGAAAACTGTTCATACCTTAGAACGCGCGGCTACCGCCATCGGTGGACAAGAGGATTTTATCCATGGATAATAATGTATAATATGATAATAAATTAAAAAACTCAACATCTGCTCAAGTAACATTTATGGTTTGATGGGCCGCAGAACCGTCGTGGATAAAATGGCAGAACAATCTTTAACCTTATCATAAAATGCGGATTTTGTACAACGAGAATCATAAACGTAAGCTTTATTTATTTATTTACGGCCTATTTAACGACACTGTTAGTAGCTCGAACTAAGAGCTACACACGACACAATAAGACGAACTACCAATCGCCATAGTTTACACGGGCGCATAAACGAGGATATATCCCAAAATTTTAACTTACAGACGGAAGCACAGCAGTTTCATCAACAATTTTTAGAGACACTTGAAGATGACCAGTGTTCGCCGAAACATATAGAGCGATGTAGAGGAGGCGTTAACGTTTAAAACTTCTGAAGGTTTGAAAAAGCAAGTTGCATGTGAAACGGCTAATAGCTCTCAGGATAAATGCGTGAAGTGCAACGGGGTGCTACGGTACAGTATCGTATACAGCAGAATCTAGTGAAAGAATGAAGTGAAAATAATATGGAAGTTATTGGCCAGGGTCCAATCTGAGGCAATATTCCAGGATTTACCTGGAGGGACTGAGGAAATCCACGAAGAGCTTAATTTGGAATAGTTAGTTTCCCGGTCGAGATTTCAATCCGGAAATTCTCCCAGCACGACTAAGACCACTGTTCACAAGAATACGATGTTATGTAAGGCATATTGAGTAATGTAGTAAGAACAGCATGGACGTGTGACGTAATTTTCCTTTCTCTTAAGAAAATATTTCTGTCTGCTTCTGAAGCATCAAATGCCATAATAATAACGCAAAGCACACAGATGGACTGCTGCTGTCGGGTTTTGTGACAGGAAAGTATAATTTTAAACATAATGAAACCCTTTGCGAGTGAAATGAAACGTGCTATACAATTCATTAATGAGCAATGACCCTACTTTGCCACATCGCCAAACACGGAAACAACAGAGAATGACAAAATTGTCACTGACTGAAAATTCTAGCAAATTACATGTCATTAAAACAATGACCACCGGCATGGAAACATTACTAATGGCGATAATTATTACGAAATTTGACAGGACAAAATATAAAAAAAGTATTTCTGAACATATAATGCGGGAATTATAGGATACGTACGTTCCTGGGAAGGATATAATCAGAACTGATGGGTCTGTAGAGGTCCCTTGGTAAAAGGTAGGGTGAATTAGGTAAATGGCCGTTACATTAATTTTGGTGTATAAATTTAATAAATACAATTCTAAAGTAACCAGAAACTCGTCATTCTAATTTGACACACAAACACACACATAAGAATCAATTAGACTTGATCGTATTACGATTAAGCCACTGCCCCTAATGTTTGCCTCATCTCCTGCGTAATTCACAAACACTTTAAAGCTCGTGGTTTAAACAGAACTCGTTATAACCTCGGGAACTCTAAAACAATTAGTCATTTGTAAGATTTGAGGCTTTCACGGCGGTGACAATGAAGAAAACAGTCTTCTGGGATTTGGCACCGTGTATATGTGGTGTTAACCGACGTTTCGGAGGAACGTATCGCCTCCATCTTCAGGGTAGAAGAAAAAATATAAGAAATCCGCAAGCGGAGAGACCGTGAGAACCGGTAAAAGCAGACTGTGTCCGCTTGCAGATTTCTTATATTTTTTCTTCTACCCTGAAGATGGAGGCGATACGTTCCTCCGAAACGTCGGTTAACACCACATATACACGGTGGCAAATCCCAGAAGACTGCTTTCTTCAATTAGTCATTTACCGAATATAAGTCACTCTCCAATTTCATGGGTGCCACAAGCGTCGAAACAAGGTTTCTAGGACCATAACAAAAGGTGTTACTGTGAGCAGTCTGGCTCCTAAAGGGTGGGAAAGTCTAATTGAAAGCGCAAGTAGATGCACTGAAGTTCAACGAGCCATTACGTTCGCAGATCCACAGACTGATTTAGCAGTTGGAACGCAAGATAATTTGGAGTATCCAATTGCAGAGGCTTACATATCTTGAGACATAAAATTCTGTTGGTACAGAAGATAGCAATTCAATTCTAGTTTATCAGTCTATGTAATAATGTGACGGGAGGTATAACTAATTCTCTATAGCAGAGTTTTTCTTGAGAAGCTGATAGTTGCTCCCTTAGTAAAGGAATTCCCTTCTTTAACCCTACCTAATTTCACGAAAATGCCCACAAGAAGCCGCCACTTGTCCCTGTCATAAGCAAGATGAATTCATGTTACTCGATATCTCATTTCTTTTAAGATATCTGTTTCGGCCTTCTCAAAATTTTCCGAGATATTCTATCCAATTAAGTTCTCCCAATCGGAATCCAATTTGCATTATTCACCTCCCCCATGAGTGTTATATGTCCCGCAATATAACTCTTTTTGACTTGATAATCTGAGCAATGTTTTGTGAAGAATACAAATTGTGAACTTGCTCATTCTGCACTTTTCCCTAATCTCTGTTACACTCCCCTCTTGTGTCCAAATATTTTAGTCAGAAGACATCCTCATCCAACGTCCTTTCCTTAAGTGAGAAACTTACTCGAAGTTGCATAATCGTGCAGGATATCTGGAGCAAAAGGAAGGATACAGTTTACAGTTACATATTACATCAGAGGCGATCTACAGTGTATGGGTTAAAAGTAAAGTTTTTCTATTTATTTCAATTTTAGCAATCTGAATATTACATAATTCTATAAGCTAAAGTGCTAATTACTCATTAGATATACTAATGACTAGTGGCGTGAACAGGTTGATATCCAAAAGTAAAGTAAAAGTAAAGATATCCCTGTACCAGACCGTAGGGCCCATAGGTTGAGCTGTTGAGGTTCCACATATTGTAGACAATCGGCTCACATATGGCGGCAGGGTTGTCAGTCTTACGCACCGGCCGCCCTTAACCCCCAAGAATACTTCTGGTACTCATTTCTGTTAGAGGCTGAGTTGACCCCAGGGATATAGTGCGGCTGGAAGGATTAGGTCAATTGAAAAAATGCAATGACCTCATCGGGACTTGAACCCGTGACCTTCCGGCTTGTAGCATAGTGGCTGAAACAGCTACGCTACCGGATGGGTTAATAACTAAAAACTGAAGATATTGTTTTATAAAACTTACTTCAAGAAACCATACATAGTTTCTCCCGAGGTGATGCCAAGATTACAAGCGCAATTATTTGTGACGTATTCACCTTTAACATCATAGCGCGGGGATGATATAAAGATAGCTGACATATGCTTTCAAAATGTAGAAAGTTCACATCTTTAGGGAAAACAGTAACAGATCAATATTTAATTCGTAACCAATTTAAGACCAGATTAAATTAGGGCAATACATGCGGCTATTCAGTTCAGAATATTCTGTCTTCTCGCCTGCTGTCTAAGAACGTATAAATTAAAATATCCAAAACTATAATTTTGCCTGTGGTTTTGTGAGTGTATGAGAGGAAACCTCCGATATTTAGGGAACGGAATAGACTGAAGGTCTCTGCGAACAGATTTCTGAGTAGAATATTTGTTCCAACAAGGGATTAATAGTGGGAGGTTGGAGAAAACTGCACAATGAGGAGCTTCATAACCTATACTCTTTATAAAATATCGATGAAAAATATAAGTTGTGAAAAGTCAACGATTAGATGGACAGGGCATGTAGCACGCATGGGGGCGAAGGGAAAGGCATATAAGCTTTCGGCGAGAAAGCCAGCAGGAAAGCGACCGAAAGGAAGACCTTCATGTGTCTGGGAGGATAATATTAGGTTGGATCTTGGAGAAAACGATCTCATGGTATGGGCTGTAGAGCTGTACGAAAGGAAGAAAAAATTAGAGAGAAGGCATGATGTGGAAAGGAAGAATGAATATGTACACTGTCCGATTTATATTTTATGTAGTTAAATAAAACTGTTTTCGTTGCCGGCGAAGTAGTTGTGTGTAAGGAAATGTGGAATGTAGCTACGACAATGTAAGAGTGTACTTCTCATATAGTTTCGTGTGTCGCTCTTCCATTTCATTCGTGATAATCTGAGTCCCTCCATATATTACCTGATTTATACATAAAGGAACATCATGATCACTGCATAATGAACTGACTTACCAACCACAAAGGCCTCTGTAGCCTCCAAATATATGCGTAGGACTGTAATAACAGTACAAACACACGCACACTGTTCCCCAAGAAAGGCACATTGTCTGCCCAGCTTCATTTTCATGACTGGAAACATCAAGGTTCACTTAACTCCGACCACTGCGGCTGACGTCATCCGTAGGCATCACGGTCTTCATTCTGTTTACATGCCAAAAGCGGAAGGACGCGGAGGGAACGGTTGCGTTGCAGTGGATGTTGTCTGTATGCGTCATATACATGAGTTACTGTATCTGCCTGCGGTTTAACGTGACGGCTTAAAGAGTTATTGGCCTGTAATTTTTATAAGATGCTGTATCAACCTATTGCATACATGAGGAAGATGAAATCTATCTATCAATAGCTCTGTAACACTTGTGGGCCTTGGCCGCCTTTCTTTTCAATGTTTTGGGTTCCATGAAATGCTGGGAAATTCTTGAGTAGCTGCAGAATTGGCGGCTCGTCCAGAAGGGCTCAGCTTCATGAGTAAGTAAGTAAGTAAGTAAGTAAGTAATTAAGTCTTAATCTATACACAGTAGGTAGCACTCCTCGGATGGTGGATCAGCCCATCGCAATGCCTGTACCTACACAAACACAGAATAATGGAACACAAACATCCATGCCTTGAGTGGTATTCGAACCCAAGACCCCAGCGTTCGAGCGAGCGAAGACAGTTCGTGCATCAAACCGCACGGCCACTGGGATCGGCTAAGGAAGATGGGATACGCATATATGTACAATTATTGTGGAAGAATGAGAACGCTTGGAAGAAGTGGATGCAGTTGGAATGATAATGTTAAAATGTAGCCTAAATAAATGAAGCGTAAAGGTGGGAACATGATTCAGCTGACTCAACATCAAGCTGCTACGAACACAGCAATCAACTTTCGCCGACTTTATCCTTCTCAGAAGGCTCTTTTCCTGTAAAGTTAGGTATTCAGGGTCTGCTATGACTCCTCTTGTACATGCTGATGAAATTGAAATTAGCATATTTTCTTGCAGCTCTAGGTTTACGCTGCGATGAGTATGAAGAGTATTGTAGTCTGGGATGTGACGCCGTCTAGTCTGGCAGAATTTTCCCTAGGTTACAGTGGAATTAGCGGAATATATCTTCAGAGACAGACAGAGTAAGACAACCAAAATCAACAGATTATTCTCAACAATCAATCAATGTATAAAATATGGTACATGATATAAATTATTGACGTCATTAATTTTAGAGGTACTTCAAACATTTTCTTGTAGGAAAAATATTTAACGAAGTGGAAGGAAATATATTGTGACATGACGTCTGAAAACCGGAATAGTGGAGCCAGAGCGGAAGTCCATTGCTAGCCAACGGCTCCCCAAGCATATTCCGCTGCAACGAATAGACACGGTATAATCCATTGCCAGGCAACGGTTCAGGAAACACGTTCCCTCTGCCACGAATAAACATAGAAAAACAAAATACGGAGGAATTGTAAGACACGGTGACTTTTATTCTGTTTGCCCATAAATAACAAAAGAGTTAGTTCAGTTCATTGGAGAGAATAAACAGTGATCCTTCGTTCGTCATTCGTCACAGTGGAAGAGAAGACACTCGAAGTCCAGAAAGGAACGGAGCGACTCGTAGACAGTTATTGGTTCTGAGCCGTCATAACTGACTGTAATAGTAAAGAAGTGCCAATACATCCAATCATGCAATCCAGAACCCGTTATTGTTAGTCACGCAAACCCCGATACGTGACAATATGTATCCCATGGCTACGCAGTTCGGTGTTTATAATGTTATTACGGATTTTTGCGCGACCTACTAAAAGTGAAGGCATGAATATACAAGAGATTTTGATGTACTTATATTTGTCCGTCCGTCTCCCCGAATATTTCAATTTGAGAAAAGCTGGATGAATTTTGATAAAGTAATATTTTGGTATACTTCCAAGAAGTTTAACAGCCTTGTAGAATTTTGATAAAGACCAATATCATAGAAATACATTTTCATCAAGAACTATTACTGAAAGGTGCACCAAACCCCTTCGTCCCCCAGGATATATTTCGGCATACAATAAATGAACATAAAAATAAATACAATATATTCATTCATTCATCAGTAATCTGTCAGACGACAGGTCCACAGCCTCTTCCAAAACAGTTTCTCCACTTAATGCGATCTTCTGTTTTTTGAAAGAGACTATCCAGGAAAAGTGATAATGTGGTAGTTTTTCCATTTGCTTTCCACATCGCAGTACAACAGCCATTCAAACCACTCTGGTCACGCCTGTTGCTATACGAACTTGAACCATCTCGAGCATCATTTTCTCTGTGCTTCAAGTCGCCGCTGATGACGCTGCTTCCGGCATCAGTTTTCGGTGTCTCTCTTCGTCTGATGCCTACCCTTTGACCTGTCCAGCAAGGGAGGCCCTGCCAGTAGCTACGCTACCGCTGGTATAGCTCTCAGGGTCCTTGGCATACTCAAACACCCTCACCACACCAACGAGGGGCCTTCTTTCATATCTGACCGAAATTGACCATTGTTCAAGATGTTACTCAACAATTTTTGGGGCTGACAACCTCACCATCACCTGCGAGGCGATTGTTTAGAGAATGTGGGAGCCTCAACGTCTCACAACCCTATGGGCCTCCACGGCCTGTTAAAGGGATAGCTTTACCTTTTTTGGAGTACTATCTTCTGTGATGTGACGCAATATGAGCCACAGAAGTTAGTACCCTCAATGGATGGCTCAGTATACAATATATATGAAATATATATGAAATAATAAAGAACACTTTTGCATAGGGTATATACTCGAGGGAACAAAATGCTCTAATCTTCTTGCTCTCCTGAAGAGTTATCTGCTTTGAACGCCCAAAACGGCTCGACGACGCTTTCCATCCTCACAAGCGCCGTAATACGAGTGCTGACCATTACCCAAGAGCGCGGCGACGTTGCGGAATCACCTAGGGACAAACTTTACACCGATTTATGGGGTAGCCTGAGGTTCAGTTTAAATGAGATAAGCTCCAAATACTTTCTGTGTTCCTGATGACGCAGTTTCACTTCCTCGACAGAGGAGCAGACGAGGAGACTAGAATCTTTCCCAGCGCATTCTACCGAAATACACTGAGTTATGGGATCATAACTACAAGCAGTTGAGTTCCGGGCTGAATTTATGAATCCTCTTTTCCTCTTGCATATAGGAGGGCTACTCGGAAAGTAAACCCCATTATTATTTTTGTTGTATTTTGTTTTTCTGAAGTACTTGTTATATGTGTAGAAATTCTGTCTACTTTTTATTTGTAGACACATTTGTGACTGTTAGTATAGAAGCGATATTTCATGTATATATTTTGTACCGGTCACGGTAACCGAGCGGTCTAAGGCATGCACTGTCTTCGCTCGCTTCGAAACCAGGATCGTGGGTTCGAATCCCACTCAGGGCAGGGATGTTTGTGTGCGTTTTTCTGTGTTTATGTACAGTTAGAGGCCTTGCGACGAGCTGATCACCCGCCGAAAGAGTCCTACCGCATGTCTAAGATCTAGTAAACCGAAGTGAAACGGAGAATTTCATGGAGGTAGGCCTAGTCCCAAATGAGGGCTGTAGTGCCAATGGAAAAAATATATATATTTTGTAGGTACATTTATATTTCACCTCAGTGCTAATTTTCACACGCCAAGGTTGGCAGGTCCAACCTCAGTGAGTCTGATTCTGAAATCTTCATCTTAACGGTATATTCCCTACAATTACTTTTTCTGAACATTACCCATCTCCCTGATTTTATTTAAAACACAAAATATTTCGGATACTGGATTCTGTCTCCGTCTTCTTGAATATGGTTTAAGGTATTTGACGGCGCTGTAAATACTGCCAGATGATGTCGACCCTATTTTTAAATCTGACCAATCGGAGAGTAAAGTGAGGAAGAGGTTGGAATCTACTACATAGTAATAGACCGTCACTTACCTACAACAACGAAGTGAGAACGGAGTATAACACCAATCAGCAGAGATAGTGACCTGATCAAAAATTCCAAAATGGAAGTTACCAGTTATAATCAAATATGATGTGCTAATACAAACAGTTCGTTTCCTGGTTACAGGCTCTGAAACAGTTCCCTCTTGATACTCCTTAAAATGAGATATTGATTGATGTTTGTAACAGTTTCAGTAAATCGTAAAATAATTCTCTGTGAAGGCTCGCTATGAAAACAATCAGCTTCCACAGCGAGAGCCCAGAAGGTATACAATTCAACAGTAAGTTGGAAAATCTCAGCGAATGTAAGACTAACAGAGCACAAGAGTGATTTTTAAGTTTGTTTGCGTGGTGGTGCCTCTTGATGCTTAAGTTGCGTGCAAAACACACGAAAGTAACAATTCGTGAAGGTTACTGAAGCCTGTAAAAAATAAAGGAGCAAGAAAACAACGCTGAAATGACGACATACGTTAAATTATTTTGATCCAGAAAGTCATCAGAAGCATATGGCGTTCTTTTCATATTTATTTTCTCGTTTGCTTTCTCATTTCTCTTTTCAATGTTGTTTTTTCTTCTTTCCTTTTTTCCTTTTACTTCATTTCTCCACATAATACTACTTTGCATTCTGGAACGTTTTCATTCTTTATTTCTTCCTTCCATTCCTTCTTTGTCTCTTTTACATTTAATCACAAAATTCGGTGTATGAAAGGTATGCATAAGCTTGTAACTTTACATTCACTGTTACCCTAAGTCAATTATGTAAACTCGTCTTACGAATAGGAACACTACCAGTGTTAAAACATTGATGTACCTTGTGTTATCGGTGACGTAAATATTAATTATAATAAATTACACTCTAATTATTTGTTTCCCATCACAAGATGGCGCCTAAATTTAAGATGTCAAATTATAATACCTTTGCATTACAGATGGTATATGCAAGAGCTATTGAATATTAAGGCAGATATCACACTGCAGTACAAATAGTTACGGCAATTAATTTTTATATTTGTATTATATATTTCCCATAAAATGTTCCCGGAAGCTAAAAATGAAACACACTTTTTTACTATCAACCACCTTTTTATACTGATACTTTGAGCAGCTTCGGAAGTAATGACAGTTATCTTTATAGTAGTAAAGGTGTGAT